AAACGTTCGAGAGAAGCGAAGGAAGGAGAGTACAGTTGGCAAGTCAAGCCAAGTGAGCTGGGCGACTCAAGAGGCGCTGTTTTTGGGTGACGACGCAGGGAAGAGGAAAGATCACTAGTGAAACAAGACAGCAGAGATGTCAGCGATAGTTGTCTGCTGAAGGGGACTCAGAGCCAGGAGTCCTGCCCGTCGTCGGAGTTCCTTCGACGAGGTGGCTGATGTGTTGTGTGCACATGCTGGCGTTTCCAGTCAGCCGATGTGTCTGCTTCGTACAGAGCAGCAAAGGTCCAGTCGATTATGAGAGATATCCTGTTCATCAGTACAGTGAGCCCGAAGTTGCGGAACGCTTTAGACCAGTAGAACTGTAGCGGTCAGCTCGTGTGCAGTGGCGGTTAGTCAAGATGTCCGGGAGAGCAACGCTATTCGTGAGAAGTGAGCAAAGCGAGTGCTGTGTGTACATGTTAGCCAGGACAGATGTCTGCATTGCTTCGCTTACGTTATTGTGTGTGTGTGAGGGCTTGTGAATATCCTCTGTGATCGTAACAATAAATGTGCGTATATAGCGGACATTACGTCGTTGGGCTTTTCTGCGAGCTGTGTATGGAATCGTGAACTGTATGTACCTTTAGACACTAGGCCGTGTGCTGGTTGCAAGTTAGCACACAGCTCAAAGGAAGGAGTGGAAAATAGGCAGACGAACACAACCGAACGTTTCGATCATGGTCTTTATCAGCTGAATACTAAATACAGCACAAACTCTGACCGGAAAAGTTTCAGCACACTCCCACTCACTTTTTTTTTTAAAAGGTTCAACACAATGCCAATTTTTTTAATAATGATGCCAAATTTCTAAAACGCACCAAAACACAGGGTGCGCAACCAGGCGTGCAGATTTGCTTGGCCTAGGTCAGTTCAAATTAAGACCGTCTCCGTCAAAAAGTATAAAATTTGTCAGAAAGCACCAATTGCGGCAGCCCTGGTTGCGCATTGCCTTCCCGGGTAATTAGTTAGTTCGCTAGTCTCTCCTCTTAGATCTAGGGCGGCGCATAAGGCAGAGGTCCTCCATGTCTGGCGGTTTGTTCCCACCTGCTTTAGGTATTGGATGTTTGTTTGGGCTATCCTCCGAATAACGGGCACTAAAGATGGTGGCCGCAAAATATCCTTACGAGCCTCAGTCACGTGTCACTTAATTTGCGGTTGTCCGGAGACTACCGCCACCGCAAGGTGTCCCCAACGCCGCTAACGCGGCGTAGACTGGGGCTCAACTAGATGGCTAGGGACTCACGAGCAAAGCTGCAGGAGATGCGGAAGCTCCTGCTCGTGAGTCCTAGCCATCTAGGTTAGCCCCAATCCACGCCTCGTGAGCGGCGTAGGGGACTCATGGCGGTGGCGGTAGTCACCGGAAAACCGCAAATTGAGTCGCCGGAAGTGGGTAATTGACACGTGACTGGGGCTCGTAAGGATATTTTGTGGCCGCCATCTTTAGTGCCCGTAATTCGGAGGATAGCCGATGTTTGTTAGGCCCATAGTTGAGCCTTTCATGATGATGGTTCTACACAGGGTCTCTCTTGGTCTTCCTCGTTTTCTTTTTCCTTCTGGGGTCCATATGAGGGCTTGATAGAGAAGTCTTGTCCTATCCATTTTGAGTACATGACCGATATAGTTTCAGCGGCCTCTCTTTTAAAACTAGATATATTGTCTTGCTTGGTCTCTTGTCTTATTTGCGTATTGGATCTGAAATCTTATTAATAAGACGATATGATATAATTATATGTTTAAAATTATTGCTGTTGAATGTTGAATTAAGAATCAATATCACAGCACTCGGGACACTCCCGTAAGTGCTCACTCCCCATCTTCAGCAGCAAGCTAATTATTGCTTTATACACAAATTTAGGATTCTCTCCGGTGTAACGAAACTTGCACATGACTGCCTTAGTGAAATTGTAAAAAAACCATGTTACAAACTAATCTGGAGAGAATATGAGACATGTGAGTTGATCTCCTCCGGGCTACAATAGGAAAAAGCCTGAAACACTGAGACCTGAAACACTGAGATCTGAAACACTGAGATCAAAAGTTCTCATTCTGGATGCCGGACCAGCATGACCTGAATCATTTGACACCGTGAGATGAACATAATCTTGTGCTGATGGCAGACCAAAGGCACGCCCAGAGACCCCGTTCAACCTCTGAAGTTTTAATAAGGGCAGCCGTAACGGTCACAACAGTCAGATATTACCTGCGGTCCAGTGCGTGTAAGGATTAGACGAGACTAAACACATACATATAGTTAAAGCGAGAGGAAAAACTTCATTGCACCGGGTCTTATAGCCCACATGGCTTGGTCTCTCTCAGCAGAACAACTAACTGCCTGCCAAGAGCATCGCAGACAGCACGAACTCAGTTTCTCCGGCGACGATTCCCAGAAAAATTACACTCGTAAACTGAACGACCCAGTGAAACGAACCCACGACCTTCAGAGAGCGAGACAAACGGCTTGACCACTTCGCCACAAAGACCACGACAAACCTAGAGTGATTTGCTTTAGTGATTGATGTTTTCAATGGCTTGAACGTAATAAATTACACACTGAAAACGTTTTCCCGTTGTGAATTTAAATACACGAAATATATTGCCGTGTCCTTGTTTACATTACAAATGTCTATAAAGATTGCCTTAGTGATATTTTAAGTAACCGACCTAATCCCCGGTTTTAACCAACGTCAGTGAGCTAGTTACGGTTTCGTCTCTGTGATATTTCCTAAGAAACGGTTTCTTCATTTCGTAATTCCTCCAACAGCTAAACCCGGACATCCAGTCATGTTAGGGTTTCCCCGACTAACGAAGGCTTCTAGCAGAGCTTTTGAAACTGTGCATCTTGACACAGTGGTGTGTCGGCTGTAGTCTTAAAGTTGTGTCGCTTGAAGGTGATGCGTTAAAGGGAATAATTGTAATAATCATACCGTTTATTGGTATTATTGATTTATTATTGTTACTCATTAAGGTTAACAATGACCGGGCGTGCCGCCACTAAAAAATCTTTGAGTGGGGCACCTAAACCTAGCCCTATAGAAAATTAACATAATATATTTGAAAAGCTTAAAATAGAATGACATTACGTGGTTGTGGGAAACACCCTAAGCCACCTGCATATTTTCTATATTTTCAAAATTCAGTATTTCAACATTTTCTAGGGGGTGTGGACTCAGTCATGACTTACTTGGACACGTAAACTAAAATAGGTCATGGCTCGGCTCCCCACCCTCCTTCCAACCCCTGCGAATTATTCTGATACATTGAGGGAGGAGGAGGGTCTCTTGGTGCCTGAGCCGTCAGGTTTCAGCGCCTGTAATAATTAGGAGATAATAGGTTTGAGGTTTGAACAACAAATCAACATCATGGCACATAGGAAGTAAACCCATAAGTGCTCCGCTCTTCTTCTAACTCAAGTCTGAGACTAGGGAAATTACTAGAAGTGTAAGTCCACGTGAAAAAATCCCAGACCTTACCGGGGATTGAACCTGGAACCTCTAGCACTCGAGGTGGACACCATGTCTCGAGATGACGCAAAAAAAAAAAAAAAAACTCTTCACGCTCAACAAGCATTCCCGAAGGGGGAGCTTCGGGTTATAATTGTGACCAAGCTTCTGTGCGCCATATAAAATGGATCAGCATTGCTCGCCAACAAGTAGCTTTGAAAGGAACTCTTGCAGTGTTGATGCGATCAAAGAAGACAGACCAAAATTGTGTCCCCACCAACGACGAAGTCGACAGCCAGTGACCGACCCGGTCGCCGATGTCGTATTATATACATGAATTTTGAATAAAAAAAAAGGTTAAAGTGACGAAGTCGGGCCCATAAAGAGAATGACTTCCCTGGCCATTCATGCCTTGTCATGACGCAGGGTGTGTCCTATGTTGCGAGCGTGTCACGCTTAGTGAGCTGTCCAGCAACACGACGTATTTTACGTGTTGTTTTCATAGGCTGCATGCAGTTGTGAGACGTAGGCTGCACTCTCTCTTGAGATTTATGCTGTGACGTAGATGGGTTTAGGTTATGGCTATTTTTTCATGTTTTGGGACCGTTAAAAGCGTTTTAATCTTGGAATATAGAAGACGCGATATCGCCGGCCGCTGAAAACAACGAGTAAAATACGGCGTGTTGCTGGCCGGTCACTAAGCTTGAAACCCCCACACCATAGGACAGGCCCTGCGACACGACGAAGCATGAATGGCAAGGAAAGTCATTCTCTTTCTGAAATCGAAAAGAGCAGCTTAAAGGCGCCGCACGGGCAAAATTTAGAGTTCAAAATCTACCCAAAGTATTTCGGGATCCTCTCCGGTGCTAAGGTGTTCGTGCACTGCGTTGAGATTTTTCTGACTCAGGCTTTAGTTAGAACTATAACGGAGCACTTATGGGTTACTACTCTTGTACCCTGATGTTGTTCCTCTGTATAAACCAAAACCACGTCCGATCGAGCTATTTAATATAAATTAATAGCTCAAGTCGGAGGTGCCAGAACCAAACCATTCGTCTAAAAAGAAGTGTTCAAGTGTATCTCAAACAAGAACTGTTTGGTAACGTTATATTATCACAATCGACGGCACTGCACACTGGGCATTCCCATGCGTGTGCAGTTATCCTGGATACCTCTACTGATTATTCCCACAAGGAGTCCGTTTTAATGTATCTTATCTCGAACTGGAAGGCAGCAGAAACCTGGATTCTCCAAGATAGTTTGAAAAGCCCTGGCTTGCGGAACTGGTTGAGCCCTCGACGGCCTGACGGGAATTTGACGTCTGCTAAATTTAGTCTCTGCCTACAGGAAAAACCCGAGAACAGCCATTTTGGCTTGTGAGAACTGCAGACCATCACCCATATCATGGACATTTTCTAATTTCTTCGCACAGTTTAAACCTGTTAACACAAATTTCTTAGTGTAGTTGATACGTTTGTGCCATATTCAAAGTTTGTTGGAGTTGATTTGAAGCGAGAGATGAAGCCTAAGGTAAGATGGTGTTGTCAAGGACAGAACAAGATCGGGCGTTGCCGTTAGTTTACTCAAGTTTACTGTATGTGGTGTTTTGTGTTGATTGAAAATATCTCCCTTTTCTTATTTCTATTCTAAATATACAAAGTCAGACTACTGCGTATATTTTACTAGTACAGTTTTTAAGATATGTTTTCCGTAGGGAAAGTGAAAATATGTATAGACTATAGGATAGGCCTAAATAGTTTCTAAGTTTCTTAGTAATTAATTTAATGTTATCAAGAATTGTAATATTGTAACTGTAAGTTAAAAAAAAAGTGTGTTGTTATTGATTTGAATTTGATTGATTTCTTTATGTCCTGTATTGGGCCTGTATTCCGATTCGGTCTGTCTAGAAATAAATAATAATAAAAATAACTTTTACTACGACATGTTTTCCACATTTGACATTTAATAAACCCAAAAGAACAGAAAAATAACCACTGGTGCAATTTGTAAAATAACTAAATTCTAAGAAGATAAATACAGTAATAACTAATAAAATCAGACGGAATTTAAAAAAAAAGTATGCTGTGGCCTGTGGCTAAATAAAACACGTTTTACGAATAATTACATGATTACAATAATTACATGGATTGATGGGGAAGAAACAGCTACTCCTGACATGTTTCTTGGGACTGAAAGAGTTATGAACTGATGATTGACACCACTGCTCTGAGTCTGAAGACTGAAGGGGTTAAGGGGAAACAAAGGACATTTAAAATATAAATTAAACAGTCTATAATATAGATGGGTTGATACAAGGCGCCCATAAGTTTCCATGGGTAGGAAAAAAAACGTATTAGCATGCCATAACAAGCATAACCCCAGCTGTGCTTATGCTTGTTGTTCTTCACCAGTGGAGGACCCACATTGGAATGTGTTTTTGGAAAACCCACATTGGAATGTGTTTTTGGAGGACCCACATTGAAATGCATTTTTGGAGGACCCACATTGGAATGTGTTTTTGGAAGACCCACATTGGAATGCATTTTTGGAGAACCCACATTGGAATGCGTTTTTGGAGGAGCCAGATTGAAATGTGTTTTTGGCAATTTATGGGACATCTTGTACAACAATTCTGTTCAACAATGAAAGAATCGAACAAAGACAGTATGTTATCTTTGAAATGGCTAAGAAACTCATGGTGTGTTGTTTGGTACTGAAATAGTTAACAGCCCTCTGCAACAGAAACAGTAAATGCAACAGGTAACGAATAAGTGTAATAATAATAATAATCAGTTCAACTAAGTAAATGAATGTAATCAATTGTTCAGACAGAAAGAATCAAGAAATAGGGTATTACCAGGGCTTTTTTTTCCCTGGCAGAATACAACAGTACTCTGTATCGGCACCACAAGACATTCTCTCTAAGTCAGCAGACCATTTGTTTTACTGTCTTTGTAATTTAGAATTGGTTCTGTGTCGCCTTGTGACACCATACCTTACAAGGCAAACACCAAAAGAGGAGATGGGTGTAGAGTATAAGGCAGACTGATTAAAAAAAACAATTAAAAGATAACATCAGAGAAACTCTAAACAACAAGATGTTTCTATGGTTGAGGCAACCAGAAGAGCAAAAAGCAAAACCTTATGTCTTTCTTGACACCTGAGGCAGTAGAAGAAGAAGGAGAGACTGAATGTATAATGAAAGCAAAATTATTCACTCAAATTCAGTCATCTGTAGAGCTGTTGTGAAAGAAACTACTGCATATTTACAGCAGTTGTCTCATGTGTAGCTCTGTAACGCTTAGAGATGAGTGAATGTTTTTAACAATCCTTGATGTACCAGGGTTCTGCTTCCCTCTTCTAGTCACTCCTGCAGTGCTTTTCAAATATCTGATTTTTATGGTTGGTAATTTTAATTTATCATTTGTTGTAAGTGACCATGTCTGCCACTGGTAGCATAGGGTGGGAATGCATATGCTTTGTATAGGTTGTTTCTTTATGTTGGTCGGGATTGTCTTATGTTTACAATCAGGAAACTGGGGTATTCATTAACATTTGTCGTTTTATTTAGGGTCCAAATTCAACAAGGAGCAGGACTCCAAAAGGCAAAGTGGTTAAAAAAGAACTGCCAAGTGAAGAAATCATTCAGTCAGGTATAATATTTATCACTTTATTTTGGACTGAATTAAAGGATTTCTGTTAATGTAGTCATTTAAGAAAATATTTTCCTGTGTGGGTTCCGGGGCCCTATTATAAGGAAAATAAGAATAGACTTACTGCCTACCCAAAAGCATGTCGAAAAGAGTCGACTAATTGGGAGCTTCCTTCGAAAGTCAGAGTGCATTTGCCTGAGAGGCAAGGAACCAGCAGTCTGCATACAAATGAGTCAGATCTGTAAAACGGATGCACAAGCAACACTCAAGTTATGGAACAGGACTGCAGTCCAAAATTGAATGAACAACCAGAATTTTCTGCCAGAGTTTACAGCTGGTGAGCATAAAGAAGAAGAACATTGTTTAAATAGTCAGCAGCCTTGTCATTAATGCTGATAAGTTGGCATCAGTAGCTTGGGGGTTGGGAATGCAGTTTGTATTTCAGATATACCCAGCTTGATTCTAGCTGTGGGTGATTTGATAGCCTACCACTTTGATTTTGACAGCGGTATCTAGAACTAGCCGTTCAAGAAAGCAGTGGCAGACTATGGAATGTCAGATTGCCTAGTAAAGCCCCTAACAGCCAAGATAATGCTGTGGTTGGTTTGCAGCACATCATCTAATGCAGTGGTCTCCAAACTTTTCATGTGGCGCCCCTTGAGTATATGGCAAAACATCCCCCTCCCCAGTTTTCTTGAGTATATGGCAAGACATCCCCCTCCCCAGTTTTTTTGAGTATATGGCAAGAGCCACACCCCCCCCCCCCCACGTCCACTCCCCTCTTAAGTTCTTAAGTATGTGGCAAAAACAACTCCTCCTCACCCCCATTGGGTGTATGACACCCACTCCTCCTCGAATATATGGCTATTCTGACCCCACCAGCATATTAAAATATGATTTAAAAAAAGGTGTAAAATCCCAGCTACTGTTAACAAGAATATTGAGAAAAGCACGTATTGTCAAATAACAAGAGAAACTATCATCAATGTCCACATATCAGTGCCGTAGATGACACTGTGTTGTCTTGATGATGTCTGCTATTTTTGGTCTGATCTGGGACAAGGCACAACAGAGATCACTCTCCACATCAAGATGGCAGCGCTGTTTTGTTTTCATGATGTTACAGCTGAAAGTCCTGATTATTACAGATGTACTCATTTTCATAAATTGCTTGACGCCTGCAACCCCTTTAAACTTCCTCACACCCCCGCAAAGGGGGGGGGGGGGGAAGTACAGGTTGAAGACCACTGTTCCAAAGGATACACAACTAACTTAACTCTTTCAGTCCCAGACTTTAACCCCTTCTTTTCCAAGAATGAGGTAAAAGCAATGCATATTTAGGTCAACCCCATCGGGTTTACTGTGAGACATAAGTAGTTGAAGTAATCATTTTAGTGCAAGAGGTTGATATAATATATGTTTGTGATAAAAGACCCAGTAATGTTACCCTATCATTCTAATAACCAAGGAATGTATGGCTAGTTGTTTAGTACTCAGAGAGTTTTTTTGAGTTCCATTGACTTTAAGAGCTATGCTATGGTAGCTTAAAGTCTTATTTGGGACCATTAGTTTTGGCACACCTTATGCGTTTTTACTTTTCATGTGCAAACTTCAAGATTTTGGTATGACTGTCAAGTTTGTCACTAGTTTGCAAGGACATTTTGTGTGATTTCTACTGGCACAGGAATGTAGCAGTTATGGAGCGACTCCTTTGCAGTGATGACAAAATCTTTACTGACTAACTAATTTATACGTTTATGCTCAATTTTGTGAACACTCACAAATAGCATACATAAAGTAGTTCACATTTATATTTAATTTTTAAATGCCTTTTTACCAGATATGATTGTTGTTTACAACATTGTTGATAATAATTCCTTGAACACCTTGACAGCATACAATCTTCAGCCCTCTCTGAGACCTTCTGTGGAAATTGTCAAATGCATTAGCTATCAGAAATTTCGGTACAGCGGCGAGAACAGGCCAGGGAAAAAGTATCAAGAGAAGGAATTCATGACGCTGAAGGTTGGTCTTTTTTCTTTTGTTTATAAATTAGCACGGTAAAAGGGGGGGGGGGGGGGGGGGGTTTGATGTTTCAAGCATTTATAATAAAAAAGGCTAGTCTGCTGTACTGACTGTATTAGTATTTACAGTACAAGTGTCTGTGGTATTTGTCTGGTTGTGCTGTCTATAATATTGTCTGCCATCTCGTACTGTCTGTGATGGAGTAGTATCAACCACGTTGTGCTCTCTCTGGTATTGTTTGTCTTATATTGTCTGTGGTAGAGTAGAATCTAACATTTTGTGCTCTCTGTCATATTGTTTATCTTACATTGTCTGTGATATAGTAGAATCTAACACTTTGTACTCACTGTGGTTTTGTTTATCTTATATTGTCTGTGATAGAGTAGTATTAACCACTTTTTGCTGTCTGTGGTATTGTTTATCTTATATTGCCTGTGATAGAGTAGAATCTAACACTTTGTGCTTTCAATGAGGGGACTGTTGGTATATTCTTGTTTCTCCCAAAATGGGGTTCCGAAACTCAAATGATGTGCATATAAAAATCCAGACCTATTTGACTTGCTTGTAATATGCCTATTTATATTTTTTAGTTGAGTAACCTTCAGGACAAGGTTGTTCGTGTGGTCATCATATGTACAGATGCAGACAACCGTGAGCTGATTCACCCGAACGGTCTCGTTGGCAAAGACTGCCACGATGGGATTTACGACAAGGAATATGCCGTTACTAAGCAGTTCTTTCAGATCAAGTAATAATAATTGTTGTCTTGCTTCTTTTCTTTCATAACATTGCAGTTCCCCGTGTGGGTTCCGGGGCCCATTGTGGGGAAAATAAGAATAGTTCCACTGCCTCCCCAGTAAGCATGTCCTAAGAGTTGGCTAACTGCGAGCTTCCTTCGAAGTCACAGTGCATCTGCTTGAGAGGCAAGGAACCAGCAGTCTGCATACAGTTAATAAGTCAGGTCTGTAAAATGGATGTGCACGCAACACTCAGGTTCTGGAACAAGACTAAAGTCCAAAGATAGATTAACAAGCAGAACTTTCTAACAGAGTTTACAGCCGGTGAATGCGAAGAAGAAGAAGAAGACAACATTTCAGTGTCAAATGAATTTCAGATTTTGTCTGATGAAGTGTCTTTTAGATTAGAAAATAATCTGGGACCCACTTGACTTGTCAGCTACCATCTGAGAGCACCATATTTCTTATGCTTATTAAAAGAATCAAAATCAAGCTGTAACTTGAGCAGGCTTATCAAATGTAACACAATGTGTTCAAAATTGAAAGCGTATTTATATTTAAGATGTTTTAACCTGGTAGTCACACATAAAACATATTCTGTGTCATCATGGCATTTAAAACCACATGAATTGTTACATTCTGATGAGAAATTGCCCACCTTTGTGCTAATTTCCAGGCTCTTAATATATTATATATATATATATATATATATATATATATAATGAGGCATATATAATAGAAATATAGGCTATCCTCCGAATAACGGTCCCAAATTATGGAGGCGGAAAATATACCCTAACAGGGCCTCAGTCACATATCAATTGCGCACTTCCGGGGACTATAACGCAACCGCCGAATTGTGAACTTCCGGGAACTATACCGTCACCGCCGAGAGTATCCCATACGCCGCTCACGCGGCGTAGATTGGGGCTAAACTAGATGGCTAGGACTCACGAGCAAATAAAATGAAGGAAGATGCAGGAGATGCGGTAGCTTATGCTCATGAGTCCCAGCCATCTAGTTTAGCCCCAATCCACTCCGTGTGCGCAATTGACGCGTGACTGTGGCCCTGTTAGGATATATTTTCTGCCTCGATAATTTGGGACTGTTATTCGTAGGATAGCCTAAATATATATATATATATATATATATATATATATATATATATATATATATATATATATATATATATATATATATATATATATATATATATGATATAGAAATATTATAAATTGGACACACAGTATCCACTATTGTCTTATACTTAATGGATTCAGTTCATTTAGACAAACAGTGTATCGACAGAGACCATTTGAGTTAAAGTAGAATTAATTTTTGTGCTTGATTATTTGTTGGTGTAGTAGTAGGCAGTCATCTGTCCCTAGGGACCATGGTGTTGTGCTGCTGGGTTCGGAAACAGCGTTTGCTGTGACTGTAAAGTTTAATGCGGGAGTGGCAGTCTCTGCCATATAGAAACGTTGACACACTATCGCTGTTTGCCTTCAGAGGAGTCGGTCTGCAGCCTCATATATCTGTGCCAGTGTTGATATCTTTCAGGTCATGTTTGCAAATGTCCTTGCAGCGTAGCTTTGGTATTTCTGCAGGTTTGATCCCTGTCACCAGTTCATACAGATGCTTTAAAATGCGACCGTCCTCCATGCAAGAGACGTGTCCCAACCAACACAGGCTTCTTTGCTTCAGTAGAAATTACATTGTTGGCATTCCTGCTCTTTTGACTTATATTCAGTGGGGGAAAAAAAGTCTAGCAGCAGTTTTGGTAACTCTGTGGTAATGCACCTGATTAGATACAACAGAATCTGCCTGGATAAACTGTGCAACATGTTGTTTGTGACTGCATTTATAACAATTCAGAATGTCTTCTTCTTTGCGTTCACCAGCAGTAAACTCTGGTGAAAAGTTCTGGTTGTTCGTCCACTTCTGGACTGCAGTCCTGTTCCAGAACCTGAGTATTGCGTGTGCATCCTTTTGACAGATGACACATTTGTCTCTCAGACAGATGCACTCCGACTCTTACGACATGCTTTTGAGTAGGCAGTAGGTCTATTCTTGTTTTCCCTATAATAGGACCCCGGAACCCACACAGGGGGGTAATTCAGCATGTGAAAACATTGTATTAAACATTGTTGAGTGTTGTTTGGTACATAAACGACACTGACAATTATTTGTTTTTCTTTATCATTTCAATGTAGAATTCCTTATTTGAGAACTGAGAGGATGAAGACTAAGAAAAACGAGCACAGAAATATTCTAGGAGTTTTGAGTGCAAGGGCTTCACATCTCCCCTCTCCATATAAAGGTGAGTGACCCAGGTGCCATTTGTTTATTTTATTATCTCCCTTTCACAGTTATCCATTTGCATGTTTTGGTCTCCTCAATTTACGACCGAGTTCTGTTGCGACTAACAGGTCGTAAGTCGAACCGGTCATAAGTCGAATTTATATTTTTCAACCCTTATTCTTTATTAAAACGGGCAAACAAATTTTTTTAAATATAAAGCATGATTGTATATAAAACATGACAGTTCAAGCTATGTACTTATTATTATTGTGCATATAAAAAAAAAAACAATATATAATATGTACTCTATTATACATAATAATGTAAACAAAACTATAATTTAAAAAATGTCACTTTTTTGTTTTTATAAGTGTTTTACTCAGGGGCCAAAATATTGCAAATAGGGATTGTTGCGGGCCAGAGGCCCTAGCATAGCAGTAACACTAATACAATACAGATGGCAGTAATATGTGTGCCACTTGAAGGGCCAGATTTGGCCAGTGTGGGCTGCCATCGGAATAGCCCTAAAATACAGCATATTTGTATTTTTATCCTTATTTCCAAGGTCCTAGGGTTTAACTTTCTAATGAATTATTTAGTGTGCAGGTTTCTATACCATATACTGTTGTTGAATAGACATGATAATGATAAAACATGGAAACATCTTTAACGTCAGACTTTCTTGTATCTCCGTATTATTAGAGAGATGCTTGTCACAGTGCACTGACAAATACACATCATCTCGGGACAAGTTTGACACAACAAAGGTTTGCCTGGGAGTTATTGTCACAGTGGAGAGTCATCCTGGCATATTAAATGGATCTCTTCATGCCATCAGTAATGTTGTCAGGAATGCTAGTAAGTTTTTCATAACTGTCTTACATAATTGTGTCATATGTAAGAATACAGGGTCTCTTTGACTTTCGACTAGGTTGCGTTCCTTCTAATAAGTCTTAAGTAGCACTGGTTGTAAGTCAGATTGATATTTTTCAATACTATTTTCATAGAAACAGATTATACAAATTGTACGTAGAACACAAAAAAATCAATCTAAATAGTTATAATTATTTAATGGGAAAAATACAAAATATGTACTGTATTGCATCGGTTCCAGGAACTGTCTGACCCTCCCAATGTAATTTTTTCTTTATTTACCATTTTTATCTATTTTTGTGTGGTCGTAAGTCTGGTAAGTAGGTCATAGGTCATAAGAAGGAGAAGGTGTATATAAAGATAACAATCACAACATTAAAGAAACATTGCATGATTAATTTGTACCTCAGACAAAAATTGGCTATCTTCCGAATAACGGGCGCAAAATATGGCGGCCGCAAAAACACCCTAACAGAGCCTCAGTCACGTGTCAATTGCGCACTTCCGGCGACCTAATTTGTGGTTTTCCGGCGACTATCGCCACCACCGAGAGTATCCCCCATGCTGGGACTCACGAGCAGCAGCTACTGCATCTCCTGCAGCTTTGCTCGTGAGTCCCAGCCATCTAGTTTAGCCCCAATCCACACCGCGTGAGCGGTGTGGGGGATACTCTCGGCGGTAACGATAGTCCCCAGGAAACCGCAAATTAGGTCACAGGAAGTGCGCAATTGACACGTGACTGAGGCCCTGTTTTTGGCTGCCATATTTTGTGTCCGTTATTCGGAAGATAGCCCAAAAATTCAGGAAAAAAAATAGACCTGTTTCAAGTGTAAAAAACATTGTTTCTCACTCGATCTCTTCTGGTTTTATTCACAGCCATTCTCAAACATCTCATCTCACAGGTGGTTAGTTTTTTCTTGTGTTCTTTTGTCAATGTCTAAGTCTGACACTGGTTATCTAAAGTCAGTAAAAATATTATATTTGTGACTTTAGTATACAAATATAAGAAGATAACGAACACAAACTGAAGAAATGTTGAGTGAATTTGTATTTTACATAAAAATATAGAAAGAAAATATGTTCAGAATAAAAGAACAAATACAGATTAGATTATTTAAAAAAAAAAACTAATTTTAGAATTTAGATACAAAAGTAGGACAGTATGAAAGAAAGAGAAAAATTGTGACCATAAGCCATCGTTCATTTAGGCAGGGGCAACAGCTGGATAAGACGTTCGCCTGTCAGCATTAAGGTCATGGGTTTGAATTCACATTGAGGGGGATCTTTATAATAAACCTAGTGCTGTCAACTTGACCAAACTTAAAATGGATACCAGGAAGAATCCTGGGAAGTAGAAGCACAGTATGCCCAGCGGTGTGACAAAAGTCCTTTGCTGTCCTTTATATGTATATGTATATATATAAATATGTATATATATATATATATATATATATATATATATATATATATATATATATATATATATATATATATATATATATATATATATATATATATACATATATATATATATATATATATATATATATATATATATATATATATATATATATATATATATATATATATATATATATATATATATATATATATATATATATATATATATATATATGTATATATATATATATATATATATATATATATATACATAAACATAAACATAAACACATATATATAGGGATTATCACAACCCACCGTCCCTCCCCCATTTTTAATTTTTCAACTTTTGTTGTCTCACTGATACCAGGTTGTAGCCCAGTGTAGTGGTTTTCTGTATTTGTCTTGCACCTCTTGGGCGGCTTGGTTGATGTATTTCTTCTCTTTTTTTGCAGGTTTTGGCTACACAGTTATTCATTCTCTTTATTGGTCTTCCTTTCGCCTTCCTCCCGGATGGCCAAACCATTTTATTCTTTGTCTGTCAGTTTAATTTAGACATGGTTTTATTCCAAATTTCTCTCTAATGCTGGTATTCGTAACCCTGTTTCTTCTTGTCTTATATAAAGTGTTATATAGTAATACAAAGAATACAAAAGAAAACGTTCATAACATTGAGAAATTAGTGGTCAAATATTAATTTGTGACGGTGAAACTAGTAGTTTTCTTCTGATCTTGTCAAAGCTGATGTCATTCTAGCCGCATAAAAAAAATTATCCTAGACAATTATATAAACTATCAGGTGTCAATTTTTATGAGGCTTAATTGACCTCAGAGGTGAAAGGATCAGAAGAAAATTTACATTATTTTCTAGGATTTGTCTAACGAAGGAGAGGAGATGAGGGGAAACCGAATATGTTGTTGCCTAAATGTGTGAAAATCTAACACTTCATGCCCCAATGATGGTCTCGGACAAGGGGCTACCTTCATAACAAATAGTAAAGCCATTTTACATGCCATAAATGAAGAAAAAAAAATATTTGTTATTGTGAACTGTGCTGTAGTTTGCTGTCTAGATAGTTGTGGTTTCCCTGCTGATGAGATTGTGACTTCCTGGACAGTGGTCCGTCACGATCAAAACATTGTAAGCACCGCCTGCTCAAGACAGGTATCTATCGATCATCCCCCGCTGTGACATAACCACAATACTGTTTCCATGACAAACACAATGTCTCCTGCGTTGTTACCTTGCACAAAAGAGCAGTCCATGACACAGGAACGGAGCCATAAGAGAAGTTACAGCCACTAAAAATAACCCAACCGCTTGTTACAGTCTTGAAAACGGAAGTCCTTTTTTTAAAAAAAAGTGAGTAAAATTAAGGACCCTTTGGAAAATCAAGCAATGGTCCTAGATCTATATTTTTATAGACCAGTCAATTCTGGATGGGGGATGTCGTCAACATGACACCAGCTGTCTACTTCCGAGGACATTACCTGTTAACCCGTTTTAAGCAACTGTTCATTTTAATTGTTGACAACAATCTTCACAGGTGAGAAGACATCATTGAGTATTTTCAAATTAAGTAACGATTCCGTGCCTGCTTTGACTGGTGCCTGCATTGATATCTTCACTTCTGAAGATGGGCCAGCGATTGAGCCAGGTAATAGTAGAGTGTTCATTGTAACTTTAAATTATGTGTGTAGGTAAATGCTGATTAATTACTTATGTGGTGTTGAATGCTGATTGTTTATTTTATTAGTGTGGTGTAGAGAAGGAAAGACTGGAGACTGATGACTGGATGACATGGATTGAACTGCATGGAGGGGTACAAATAGGAAGGGAATAGTGACAAAGGAGAATAGGTTTGTAGATTGGGTTAAGAGCTTAACATCTGAGAAGAAACATGTCAGATGGCAACAGTGGTCCTGAAATCTCATGCACCCATTGTGGAGGATTCTTCTTAATATCAGCTGGATCTGGGAGCTGCCATCATGTAGCAGCTAAATGATCGCCTGCAGATCTGAAGGTCACAGGTTCAACTCCAAATGGAACCAGCCTTATAAAAAAAAAAAAAAATTTACCATGGTTCTCAGTTCGACCCAGCAATAAATGGGTTACCAGGTAAAGCCCTGAAAAGTAAAGGGAGCTGGCACAATATTGATCACATCACCCACCAAATGCTGAATGCTCTGTAAAATTTAGGTCTAGCACTATATGCCCAATAAGCTTGAAGGCGTGGAATGCAGTGTTGCCACTTTTCTTTGACAAAAAAACTCCAAAACGGAGTCAACAAATATCTAAAAACATCTAAATTTGCGTAGAAAAAATCTAGAAAAAAAAACCATCCAAATGGAAAAAGTCACAAATTACATAGCAATTGATATGACTTACCCTATAGAATCAGCTCCTCATCTTTACTGAAGTCTGCCTTACAAGATCCACAGGATAAACTTAGCTTGGATGATGAAGTGGAACAGCCTTTTCCTACTCATATCAGGCAAACTGTTATTGCCAAGATAGCATTTAAGAGGTCAAATTTATCCTGTTTTTTTTTTTTTAGGTTAGATTTGATAAATTCACTCCAATTTAAAAAAATCTAGAAAACATCTACCATCTAAACGTCAAAAACGCCATCTAAATGCAAGGAAAAACATCTAAATCTGGATGTAAAACATCAAAAGTGGCAACACTGGTGGAATGAGCTCATTTACTTTATGAGGTGGCTCTTGCTAGTGACACTCACCATCACCATGGGATGTGGTTCCCAGTCCACCCTGTGGCGCAGTAGATCACTTTCATCTGGAAAAATGGAAAAGGGCCAACCGAAAAAAAAAAAAAATTACCAGGCTGGAGGAGCTGCATTAGCATGGTGATTCGTGCTTTTGCATGAGGGAATGGTGGTCGTGTATTTTAATGCTCTGGGAGGTTGCTCCCAGTTGGAAATGAGTATAGAAAATATCTTGGGAAGGGCAGGTTGTCATGTCGACCACATCACCTACTGAGGGCTAATCTGTCTAACAAATGTGATACTTTTTGTGTCCCCAGTACTCCACGTGACATGAAAAGAGAGCGTTGCCCACTGCTGCTAAATGTATACATAATGTGTATTTGCATGCATATGTGCATACATGCCTACAGATTTATGTATACAAGAAACAGTTATAGATCAGATTTATGTCATTTAACTATTTCAGTACCTGAAGGTTCTGCAGTAGATGTCCAGAGGAGCAGAAAAGTAAATTAAAGGAAAGGGCCCCTTTCATGCCTTCAGGTATATTGGGCATATAGGGCTAGACCTATATTTTGTAGTCCATATGGCACTTGGTGAATAGTGTGGTCAAAATCATGCCAGCTGCCTTTACTTTCCAGGGCTTTACCTGGTAGCCATTTATGACTCGGCCGACTTGGGAGCCAGTGTCATTTGGAAAAGAAAAAGTCTGGTGACATTCAGACCCGATCCCATGACCTTTAGATCCAAGAACCACTTATCAGAAAAGCATTTCAAAAATAATGAGTGCCACCATTTATATGGGAACTACCAGTGTAGAAGCCAGATAACAAAAGTATGCTCTGACACAGTAGATAAAGTAAAAACACACAACACGTAATGGTTAAGATTGACAAGATATGAATAGCTTCATGGTTGCTTGCCTGTCCATTGAGTCAATTTGTCTACCTGGTCCAACTTGGTCTGCCTCTTCTCCTCTTTCCCTCTACTGAGCCCTGTAGTATTGTTTTTGAGAAGCTGTTAGATCTTATTACATGTCGATACCACTGCGTGTTCCGTCTTTTCATTGTAGTTAAAAGAGGTTCATAGTTGCCAGTATGCTGCGTAATTATACACCAAATCATCATTTGTGATATGGTCACTGTGTGCTGTACCAAGAATTATAACTTTACAATTTAGAGAAAAACTCAAACAGATTTGTTAAAAATCATGTAAATTTATGATAGTAGATTTATTTTTCTGATCTCTGTTCTTCTTTACAGACAAATATTTGATTCATGTCTCCTGTGACTTAGAGGTTAATGGGGTGGAAGGCTGGGAGTCAGAAAAGTACTCGCCAGGGAAAACTGACCTGCTCTACAAGAGGGTGATTACCTATAAGGTTCCACCTTTCAAACCCAACCCAGACCTGGTTTCTCCCATTCCTGTGATCCTAAACTTGGAGTGCCCTCAGAGCAACCAGTATTGTTGTTATCAGTTTCAATACGTACCCCAAGGAGGTAGGTGTTTCTTTATATTCATTATTATCATTAGCATCCTCATCAGATGCCATGCTGATAAATGTAAGCTGTCGTGTTTCACCATCTAACATGATCACCAGAATTTTCAAGTCTTTCTGATAACACCAGACTTCTCTGGGCAAGTCAGCCACCATTGAAGACTTTTCCGGGCAAGGCTTGGCCTCCATTATTATATGCATTGACCTCTCAGGGAGCACAGGAGTAGACCTATTGAACCACATGGCATGTCAATATGTGACAGGCGTGTAACATCATTATGTATCTAATACATGTTACAAAGTTTTATCATAGACCAGTAAACCAAGGAACAGTGTCTGTGGATGCGGCTAATGTTCTACACTTAATTATGATATTATAGCGCGATCAGTCTCTTTATTATGGATGCACACATTGCGGCTTATGTGAATTGGGGATTAGTGACTCATTGTCAAGTCTAGGACTTCCTGCCAAATCCACTCTCATCGGCAGTCTCTAGACCATGAGTAAAACCCCCTAGTTAACTATGTACAGGTGTCTGCTAAGGGTGACTCACGTCCGATCGTGCAGATGCACCTGCGTGATGTGCAGTTACAGTCCTCTAACAGCTCTCTTTTTAAGAGACCCTGCCACCCGAGGACCCAAGGGGAAAAGAATCCAGACCTCCTGTCTGCTACCCAGTCACTTATTGAAGTATCACTGATCAACCTCCAATTAACCAGCTTTCATGATATTTCCTCATCCCAGTTACACATTGGTGAACACACACAGTTCCCCAGCACCTTTTCTACCCTTAAGGACACCTCATCAACCTGAGTGCCACACAGCTGCAGCTGTGCAAACCACCCAACAAACCTGGGCCACACAACCGTCAATTCTAGAAAATCACTTTGACAGAATATTGAAATCCAACTCATGATCCACCACAGTCATCTGGGCAGTTTACGAGCTCCAGCAGAATAAAACACATTGTTAAAACTGTCACACAACACAGTCCATACATCCACAAGATTTTAACAATTTGCACACACGTTCACACACTTAGACGAACTGAAAGCTGACTCAAAAAACTATGGGACTCCTCCCACCTGCAGTCCGGGTTGATCTCACTTTCTTGTCAAAACCTAGGGTGTTTGCAGTCACCCATGAATATCAAGCAACCACAGTTTCACAACTTTATGTGGCTCAGATGTTTAAACTGACAAACCATCAACATAGCATGATTACTCGTGTATACTGATGCTTTACGAAGCTCTGGCTTCATTAACTCTATACCTCACAGTGGCTTTCATGTTGAGCTTCGGTAACTCCTCGCATCACCATTCTCCTCCGACCATAAAGATCTATCAAAATGATGATTAAACTTTGTAAATGTTGCTTAGTAAAAGTTACAAAATTTGAAGTTTCGATGATGAGATTATTTCAGATTGACATATGGTCTCAGGTTGACCCAGCCTTAAAGGTATACCAGGAGATATCCCTAGTTATCAAAAGACCGGTCATAATGAAAATTAAAAGAATATGTATACATATCTATATATATAAAAATCAATGTTTGTGTGTTTGTTTGCCCCCTATAGACTCGGGAACTACTGAACCGATTTAGCTGAAATTTTCAGGATATGTTTGTTTTGATACCTGATGTTGAACCATCATGGTTTGAAATTCAACCTGTCACTTTTAGAGATAGGTGACCACAATTTAAGCCATAATATTCTAAACTAATATTTATAATTGTAGTGATTTCTAATTATAGCCACGTTAGTAATAGCGCATGCGCCGCCGTAGTCAGAACGCAATTCTTCCACTATTCGCCGGCGAGTTACGTGCAGCCAACGCCTTCTCTAATACATAGAGTAGGTCGAGGTACAACAAACAAGACTATCTCTATATTTGCCACAATAACCATATTAAACACGATTTCTATTTTCTGTTTTTTTTTTTCAAACAACCTTTGATGGGGAAGGGGAGGGGGAGGCATCAAGGACTATTTCGACGTCGGCGCAGACATTGACTGTGACATTAACTTCATTAACCATGTTAGACACGTGCGATTTCTATTGTTGTGCCGTTTCATTAATATATCTGGAGTATCTGTCTAAATGAAAACAATTGCTTGTGGTTTTGAATTGTGTTTTAATCGGGACACAGTAGTAGGGACACACATCTCTAATAGTTAAGTTCTCTTTTCATTTATCCGATTAAGTGGCTGCTTGGTCGAATGGTTAGAACACTGGGTTCCTGTGCAGGAGACCTGGGTTCGAATCCGCAGTAGTTAATTTTTTTTTTAACCCCGGACTAAAATAATATCCTCATCTGCTCTGTCGTGGTGACAGTACTAGCCATGTTGCCTTAATATTTAAAAAAAAAAAAAAAGACAAGTGAATGGGTAAACCATTTGATAATTAAATTTGACCATATCGCATACTTATGATTGCATTTTTAAACTTTCCTATTGCGTGGTTACGCTGAAATGTTATAGATTTTCATTTATTTTCATTTAGATTTAGTTATTTCATCTGCGTTGGAATTTTAAGCTGTGCTGTTTACCATGGCGTTCATTTCCTGATTATGGTGTTTTTTTCCTGTGTTCATTTGCTTTTCAAGTGGGGGGAACTATTTACTGAGAGAGCTTTAAGTCACAGTAACTGCTTTACCCACTTAAAGTAGCAGCAGCAGTAATAGTTGTGGTTGGGCTGTTACACCATAGTGCTCTCATGTGAAGACCGCCGGTAAGGTTATGGCGTTCTTCTGTCGGAAAGTGAAATTATACATCCTAACCTGACCAGTCTGTGGCGACAGCACTAGCCATGCGGAACCAAATCTTCTGGCTCACGACTCTCTGTCTACTCCGATGGTAACACAGATAGCAGTGACATTATTTTAGTAGTTGTACTGGTACTTGAAGGATGATGTGGTAAATATTACACTAGCCCCATTCACTACCTATTACAATTCCTGCTCCCCATTTTAGTCCAGATGGACAGGGATGTCAATGTCAGTTACAGCAACAAAAAAATATCGCCAGGTAATGATTTTCAAATATTTCGAAAAGGGAGAGAGCAGTAGTCGGTGGAAGAGGGGAGGGGAGGGGGGTAATGACTTAAATTTAAGAGAACTTAAAGAGCTTTACACGTGATTTTTAAGTTCTCATTACCTAATTTGTTTATATTTTACTAACGCTACCTCCGCTTTTCTATTTTTAACGACTTACTTTGTTATTTACAAGTACAGTTGTAGCTTTACTTCCGTCTCCTATAAAAATACAAACAGCTTTAGCATGTGATAACCAAATAACCACTTTTGTTACCGTGCTAATAGCACCATTTAAACGACCACTAATATAAAGACACAATTATATAGTGCGTGTTCTAAAGTTGGAAAACCAGGCTATCTCTATATAAATGTGCAGAGAATGATTGCGACATTACCTATATTAGACAGGTGCGATTTCCATTGTCTTTCTTTTCCAAAAACCTTTGATGAGGGAGAGGGTAGTAGGTGGATTTAGTTGTGGGGGGGGGGGGGGGGGGGGGGGGGGGATCGAAGACTATCTCTATATCTGAGCAGACAATGATTGTATTAGACACGTGCGATTTCTATTTTCTTTCATTTCTATTTAGCCAAACTATACCACAGCAACGCGTGGCCGGGTACAGCTAGTATATATATAAAATCGAACTTTGACTCTTACATCGACCTAAACTAAAATAGGTACCCAAAATATCCTGAGACGTAAACTTGGCTGATGATTGACATTCTTTTGTGTTTCAGAAGTGATGTTTATTGATGATGAGGCTTACTGTAGAGGACAGAAGCGAGGCTCTGTTGAACATGACATTAAACCATCCCCAAAGAGATGTAAGTGTATTACTTACAATCACCTGTTTCTCTCAAAAAAAAGGGGGAGGGGGGGATGGTGAGAGATAGAGAGAGAGTAATATATTAGCTGATCATCATCAACAAATGCCCTACCAGCTGGCATAGGCATTCATGCATCTCCACAGATCTTGGTCTTTGGTACTCTGGATCAATTCCACTGATGATGTTCCTCCATGCCACTATTTTAAGCCATCCACCATTATTTCTCTTGGTCTGCCTCTGCCTCTGCCTCTTCTACCAGTGAGTTTTCCAGTTGTCACAATATTTTCCAGCGCCCCTTTTCTCATCACATGACCAAAGAATTTTATTCTCACTGTTGTATATAATATTCTACTTTAAATTAGCCATTTCCAGGCAATCTTTGCAGATAACCAGGCCTTGATAGCAGATACAGCCATGAAATTGCAACAACATCTAACATCCATGAATGAAGAATGTAAAACAAATAATATCAGAATCAACACTGAAAAGACAGAAGTAATGTCAATAGGAAAAAAGAAGACAGATCTAAACATAGCAATAGAGTGCAAAGGCATTAAACATGCATCTGAGTTTTAATATCTGGGAACTACATTTACCGAAGATGAGAAATTAGATAAAGAAATTAACATTAGAGGCAGTAAAGCAAACCAAGAATTGGGAGAGCTAGCCCCCCCCCCCCCCCCCCCCTCTTACAGCATAAGACAATCCCTATCAGCACAAAGAGACATCTTATTCAAAGCATATTTATTCCAACTCTGTTCTACCAGTGCCAGACATGGTCACTCACAACAAACCATAAAAGAAAATTAGTAACCATGGAAATGAGATGTCTGAGAAGGACTGTAGGAGTGACCATAACAGATAAGATCAGGTATGAGATCATAAGAGAAAAAGTCGGCACAGAACCAATTCTAAATTACATACGAAGACAGCAAGTGACATGGTTTGCCCAGTTAGAGAGAATGCCTTGTTACACCATACCATACAAAGCATACATGGAAAGAGAAGAAGGATGTAGAGCATGAGGTAGACCAAGAACAATATGGAAGGATAACATCAGAGAAACTCTATAACAGCACGATGTGCCTATGGTCGAGGCAGCCAGAAGAGCTAGAAACAGAACCTTATATCTCCCTCGACACCCACAGCGGTAAAAGAGTAAGTGAAGAAGAAGAAGAAGACAGGCAATCATTGTTAGTTATTCTGGCAGTTCAGGGTATTTGCATTATTCTTCTCAAAAACCACATCTCAGTTGCCTCCAAACTCTTCTTAATTTAATATAATAGCTACACAACAGTTATTGGGCTCTCTTAACGTGGGTCACTGAAACTGAGCCATCATGTTTTGACTAACAGTCTCCTTGCTTTGGAGAACAAAGAAAAAACCCACTGCCCCCTTAGTAAGGATGTCATAGGAGGCAACTAATTAGCTACCTTTCCTTCAAAGTCGGACAGGTATGGAACCAATAGTCTGCTTACAGGTAAGCCACATCTGTATAATGGATCTGTGTGCACAACTCAGTTCTGGGTCAAAATCAAAGTCCAGGAGTGGACAAACAACCAAAACTTTCCACCGGGATTTACAGCTGGTGTACGCCGATAAGAAGAAGAAGAAGACTAACAGTAGAATATTTTAACTAGCAATCAGTATTTTTGATAAGTATATTTTGATTAACATTATCGTATAATTGCTAGCAGTCACCATTTTGACTAATAGTATTTTTTTTTAAAATAACTACCAGTTAGATATTTTAACTTTCAAGCAATATTTTGACTAACAATCTAAAATTTTGACTTAGTGTATCATATTTTTACACGCAGTTACCATTTCCCCAACTGTAGTATATTTTGACTAGAAATGAGTATTTTGGTTGTTGTTTATTTTGATTAATACATTTGATTTATATTCTTACTGAATAGGAACACTAATTTAACAGATCTGGCAGAGAATAAGACAGGCTTGATTTGAATGATGTAAAAGTGTCACTACAAACCTATGTAGTCAAGCTGAAATAAAGATAGAAGAAAGTTGAGCCCAGACAAACATAGTTATTATTTAACATTCTTACTGAATAGGAACACTAATTTAACAGATCTGGCAGAGAATAAGACAGGCTTGATTTGAATGATGTAAAAGTGTCACTACAAACCTATGTAGTCAAGCTGAAATAAAGATAGAAGAAGGTTGAGCCCAGACAAACATAGTTATTATTTAACATTCTTACTGAATAGGAACACTAATTTAACAGAACTGGCAGAGAATAAGACAGGCTTGATTTGAATGATGTAAAAGTGTCACTACAAGCCTATGTAGTCAAACTGAATTAAAGATAGAAGAACGTTGAGCCCAGACAAACAGTTATTATTTACCTTAAATTTTAATTGTGTAGATTTTAATGTTTGCTCTTTTGTTGGTACTTCACAGTGAGATCAGAAATGTATGACAATGATGGAAGTACAGAAGCTATCAAGGCCAACCTGAAGACAAAAATCAAAGCCCGCAATGGTATGGTCTTATGTACATGTAGTCTGTGGGATATCTGTTCTTCTGTGAAATTTTTTTTTTTTTTTTTAAACAGGCCACTGCTGCCTCTCTTGTACCTTGTTTTCTTAAAATTTTTCGGTTGGCCTAGCTGTTACAGCGAGAGACCTGAGTTCGAATACTCTGAAGTGATAGACAGTTTCTGTCAGGTGCAGAAATAAAGATCCTGACCTGCGACAGTTTGATGTGACTACACTAGCTATGCGATCCTAAATTCTCAAGCACAGGCAACACCTCCCCCGCCCCCACCCCCTTTCCTACACTGCCCCAAAAAGCGGTAAATACAGGATATCAAGACAGTTGATTTTTTAAGATGATGTATTGTGCCCGGCATGAATTCCTACCCGATCTTTGGCCTGGCTGCTATACTGACATGATTCTCATTCAGAGAGGGTAGGGTGTTAATTATCCTAGCAGGCATTGCAAAAACTTCTATTAAATTCTACAGAGTTCCCTAAATCTCCACATCATACACAATAATATGAACTCAACAGACTGCAGTGACAGTAGATCACACATTTGTATGCAGTTTATTCTCCCCCCATGTTAATTCGAACCTGACTTTTGGTCCATCTGACCAATGTCTTGTCCACTACACTAACATCATTCCTATTCATAGAGAGTGAGGTGTCAATTATTTTAGCAATCATTGAAAAAACTGCCGTAAAAGTAAACAGAATTCTAAATCCCCACATCCTACAAAATAAAACAAACTCAGCCTACCATTATTTGTCAGCTGTATGAATTGAGGAAACAGATTCACCCAGACATAGAATAGAACCTTCTGAGCTCTATTTGGAACAAAGTCGTAGTATGATCTGCAGTCTTGACATGTTTTGTGCATATATAAATTGTTGTAGAAAGAACAAACTTTATTTTCAAAGGGTCACAGTTTGGTCACTTAGACCCGTCTTATATTTGGCCCTTCCAGACACCCTTCTTTCACACAGAAGTTGTTTTTTTATTAATAAAGCATGTTATGTTCATATGATAATATACATATTGTGAATATCAAGAAAAAACCCCCCAAAAAAGCAAGCTTGGTAAAATGCATACACACACAAGTAACATGCCAACCCAACCCACTCAATTAAACACGCATATATACACACCCACATACATACACATTCCACACACATACATATGATACATACATGCACACACAGAAACACACACAAACATGTTCACAGACACATAAACACACACAAACACAGAAACACACACATGCAGACACACAGACACACACGCACAAACACACAGAGATACAAACACACAGACAAACACCGTGACACAACCCACACACACACACGCAGGTACACAAACACACATGTACAAACACACACACACACACATATCGCAGACACACACACAAACACATTTTGAGGTTAGTGTAGCTGTGTGTTCTGAAATCATTGTGATCTTCTCCAAGTCTAAAGATTATAACTTATCCAGTCTTTTCTCAGCAATGTGACTGTGCCTCCATCTCAACATTTTCTTTATTTGTATCCTTGTCACAGAAGCTCCAAACAGTATTGAAGCAATGTGCATTGACAACCAGGGTGACTCTCCGGAAGAGGAAGAGGAGACCAGAAACTACCTCAGAGACCACAAGCAGCTGCAGATGTATTCCCAGGAGTGCCCTGTGATCATTCATCACCAAGATCCTCAAACAGGAGAATCCTCCTACCTTCTGGATATGGACGCTAGCAAGAGTAGCAGTAACCCTGGAGCTGCTCTTGTTGGTAATGAAAATCAGTATGTGATTCATTTCCAGGAGAAGGGCTCGGGAAATATCATTCAAGGTTTGAAGAGTGTGAAAACTGCAGGCTCGGCAGTTCATTCAGATACACTTCCAACCAATGCTGTGTTTGTTTACACCACAAATGAGATTCAGCCGGTAAGAATGGGAGATAATCCTGTAGAGCATGTGTTTATTCAGAGGGTTGGGGATGAAAACCAGATAGTGTTTACAGATTCACAGAGCTTCAGGCATGCAGAAAATCACGTGAGTGTCTTTACCAGTGATGGTCTACCGGCATCATCTGCCCACAAGACAGCTTCACAAATCTTGCGTGGAGAAACAGTTCCTGAGAAAAGGTCAAGTTATACAGCATTTGTTGGCTCTGACGGACAGTTGGAAGGAACTCAGTCCATTTCAAATCGCTCCAGTTCAGCGGCAGAAAATAGACTTGCATCTACAGCACCCTACACTTCAAACAACAGTGGTTCGGTTTCCTCTAGCATTTCATCCCTTGCTGGAAGATACAGTCCAAATACGACTTCCTTCCCATCATCCATACCCCCAATTCGACGTATGCTCATTTCCAACAAGGGGGTGTCAAATGCTTCTCCATGGGAGGTGGACAACGGTGATGATGATTCTTCAGACTATCAGATTGTTTTCAAAACATTTGAGGCATCTAATAACAGGGTCCCCTCACAACAAGTGCCCTTGAAAAGTGAGCCTCTTGATGAAAATCCTTATCGACAGAGTAATGAGCTCTTCACCTCGATGTCTCGGACATCCATGCCTCCCTACCATGTCCCACTTATTCCTATTTCTGAGGCACAGTTACAACAGTTGGGAAGAATTAGTTACGTTAAAGAAAATCAACTCAAGCAAGTTATCCACACATCCTCGGAAGAATCAACAGTCACAGCGAGAAACAGTTCTGTCACAGCTTCCTCTGAGGGTCTCACTTCTCTGGATGTTGCACTTGCCAACAATTTACCCACAATAAAAATATATGAAATAGCTTCAGAGTTACAGGATGATAATGGTTCTGATGCTGAAGAAGCAGCTGAAAGCAATTGATTAGTCTTCATTAACTGGCTTTAGTTGTTGAGACTGTGACATTTCTACTGCTGTAAAGTACAGTCAGTAAAGTCAAACAAACGGATGACTCGTTTCTAACAGTTTCTAATTGCAGCTGTTTTCCATCTATATATTTTATTGTTGTTGACATGTGAAGTATATACTCTGTTGCAAAAAAAAGTTAGCACTTTACATTCTATACGATTACTCACTTCTTTTTGGGTGCAGTTGCAACACAATTTTGTGATAAACTGCATGTATTAGTGTTCTGGTAGGGAATGAGTTTTGAGAAAATTTGCTTGGTAAACATAAGCGAGGTAATACTCAAGTGGTAGGGGAGGTCAAAATGAAAAATCACACTGTTTAATAATGAATGTGCCCTCTTCTGACATTGATCACAGCTCTTAGGGGGCTGCGTGGTCTCGAGGCATGGTGTCTGCATTGAGTGCTAGGGGTTCCGGGTTCAATCCCTGGTAAGGGCTGGGATTTTTTCACGTTTACTTGGACTTCTAATATTTCTCCCTGGTCTCTGGATAGTGAGATTGGACGCCTGTGTGCATTGTTGCGCACGTAAAAAAAGTCACTTGGCAGTTGGAAATCAAAAAGAGTAGCCTAACGGCGCTGCCCGGGGAAAATTTGGAGTTCAGATCTACCTAAAGTATTTTAGGATCCTTGCCTGTGCTACAGAGCCTGTGCACTGTGCTGAGCTTCTTCGGACTCAGACTTGAGTTAGAAGAAGAACGGAGCACTTATGGGTTACTACCTGTGTGACGTGATGTTGATCCGTTGCTCAAAAACCTCAAAACTTAATCACAGCTCCACAATGTCACCTCATTTAGAGGATTAAGTTTCAGACACAGCATGGTTATGTTGCTTAACAAGCTGTATAAGATTTTTATGCGAATTTGGCAGGTTTTGTGTATGGTTGGTGATCAAGCATGTCCCATACATGCTGTACAGGGTTACGTTCAAGTGAAATTGTTGGCCATGGATGAAGAACATTCATGAAGTTCTGCAAGAGAAGTGCAGTGGTTACTGTTGCTCAGTAAAAGGCTGCATTGCCATGCATAAATGTAAAGTCTTCTCTATGAGTTTGAAAAAGTGACACAGCATATATATGTGTGTACCACTGTGCAGTGATGTTTCTCCAAATTTTTACCTGCTGTCTTCTAAAATTCTCTGTGATATTTCTCTGTCATTCCTCCCCACAGCATAATGCTACCCTCACTAAAGTTCAAAGCTCATCTGCCCACTTAAGTCTGTTCTGGATGTGGTGTGGCTGAAGTCCAGGAGCTGGCCAGCATATTTGTTTCCCTCAGTTGGCATAAACCAGTGTTTAGAGAAAGGTGTCTCTTGTTTGGTTTTGCATTTATTGTGTGAGTTGTCTGTTTTTGAACAGACCAGAAGCAGTTCTGAAAATGAACTGTGTGAGTTGTTTGTTGTTAAAAGCTCTGTAAATGACCTGTGTGAATAAATCTGTCCTGACTTTGTGAGGTCACCCTTGGTCTTTCTGGTCTCTGGAGAGGAACATGAGATGGCGCTCAGCAGTTCTGGTAATCTGGTAATCTTAGTTTCAGCTTCATAGCAAACGGGTCACCCCATAGTTGCTCCACTCCTGTGCCAACAAAAAACACACAGGATGTTAATCACAGTCCCTTGTGGAAAGATTGACAGACCGCTGTCTCAGCATATCTAGCATACACACGCAGTAAAAGCATACGGCAACCGTCCAAAGCGCCAACACAAACAGTCCGACATTAGAAATGCAGTTCATCGTGGATGTTAACAGAAGTCACCAACAGGTACATTCTTGTACCAGTATTGAGGTAGCCGATGATCTGATTTCTTTTGTAATAGTTTGAGATGGGACGTGATAATAACATCAGTTTATTCAGATCATTAAAAAAAAAAAAAAGTAAAGTTTCCCTTTTCATGCCTTTTGGCGCATCGGGCATATGGGCAGAGCGTCCCATATTTTTACAGACCATCAGCACACTGTGGGTAATGTGGTCAGCATTACGCCGGCTGTCTTTACTTTCCCAGGACAGCCCATCCTGGTACCCATTTTAGGCTGGGTCGACCTACGACGTCCCATACCATGACAAAAATCCACGCAGCCTGCAGTGGGTTTCGATCGCGGTATGCTGGCTTACGAGTCGGACTCGCAACGCCTTAGCCACGGACGCCGCATTCAGATCATAGGGTGGTGAATTTGGGTTGAGGATGTGATTTTTGCAAACAGTGGGGGGAATACACCCATGTAAAGTTTATTTAAAGGTCGTAAATTATTTTAAAAGGCATTCCACCTGAGTTAACCACCTGAGACTGTTATTTAAGCCAAATTTTAAATGAGTACTGTTCACAGCAGTATCAACTTCAGGGTCATGCTGCGTGAAAATTACGTTGAATTTGAATGAGTTGTTTTCAAAATGTACACTTTTCAAAGTGTTCACTTTGTTTTGCAAGAGTGTTTGTTATATAAATTACATTTCATAAATTTGAGAACTGGTGCCATTTAACCTGCAGCAAAAGCAAACATCTGTTAAAATCTAATTATGCAGCATTTCATTAAGTCGTATGTGTATGCATGCTTGCAAATTGACAGAGATAAGACATTTATTACATTATTACCAGATTGTTTTTCATTTTAAGAGAGTTGTTAATTATGAATTGCTATGGCTGTCCTGTTGGTTATTTTGCACCTTTCTTTTCTAAATAAATTTTTATTGTCTTGTTAAGTAAAAAGGCTCTTATTAAAGACAAGCAGTTAATCCTAACATCAGCCTATTGAGTATATGAGATAAATTTGTACAATCTTTTAGTCTTCTCAAATTTGTGGAAGTATTTTTGGGTTGTTTTTCCATGCACCTAAATATAATATAAGATTGTACAAATATAGCATTGTTTTCTGTTACAAGGTTTGTGGATTGTCCACAAATATTTAACTTATTATATTGTTGAAGGTATGAGAATGATGTGGTGAGAAGGGTCTTTTACTTGTTATTTGTTACATCTATAGGATTATGCACATTTGAGGAATCTCATTGACCTGTCGCTGATTACCACTTTTGTTCAAAAAAAAATATAATTTTTGACTCATTGAAATAGTCATTAGTGAAAGGGACAGTGAATGAAATATAAGTTAGTTATTTACTTCTTCTTTCTGTTGTCCTCTCACTGATGCCAGGTTGTAGCTCAAGTGTTGTGGTGTTAGTTATTTGCAAGGACAAATTAAGTTTGGTTGCATGTGTATCAGATATTGCACTCAGACTTTCTCTGTGTGGGTTCCAGGGCCCCATTGTGGGGAACACAAGAACAGACCTCCCCAACTAGCATGCCACAGGAGTTGACTAATTGGGGACTTCCTTTAAAGTCAGAGTGCATATGTCCAAGCAGCAAGGAACAACCAACTGCACACAACTAAGCTAGTGAAACGGATCTACATGCAAAACTCAGGCCCTGGCACAAAGCCAAAGTTCAAATGGACAAATGTTCAGGACTTTCTGCCAGAGCTTACAGTTGGTGGACAAAGACAAAGAAGTAGATCACTTTTATTGGAGAAAATGTGGCTCATTGAAATAGGCAGTAGTCAATATATAGTATAAGGAATGAAATATAAGTTCATTGTTTACAACAAGAGTAAATTAAGTTGGAGAGCATTGATATGAGATATTGTACTGGAAACTGATTCTGCAAGGTAACAATTATTAGTTATTGTTAGAAAGTTCAGCCGGCAACTAATTCATTATATGTTCATCTTGGATCATTCATGATATGTTCTGGGAGTTCCTCTCTTCTTTAAAGTCCCCTCTCAGTGCCAAAGGACAACAGTATACTTACAAAGCAGGCCACCAGTTAAGGCTTCACTGCCAAAAAAAAACCAACATTAAACATTGCTGAGAATGAAAGACTAGAAATACTGCCACTGATAAAATAAGTGTCATCACATTGAGTATATTTACATGTTTTGTGTTATTAGGTCAAAACACCCACTGCCATTGGTTTATAATTTAATAAAATAGGACAGCATGGTCTCCAGTAATGGTATTGACATTTCTGTAGAATCAAAGCTAAAGTCGAGAGAAGATCGACTTCATTGCCCCAAGTTATCCTGTATGGGTCAGTCTCTCCACAGAATGGCTAGCTGTCTGGTGAGAGCATCACACAGAGCACGTACTCTGTAGTTCCAGCAACAGTCCCTGAGGATCTCTGTAAAAATGTTACTCAGTAACTGAATGATATGTCAGTGAAATCAACCTACAACCTTCAAAGTTCAATGCAGACGCTTGACCACTTTGCTACAGAGGCCATCTTAAAGTTTATCTTGAATCTGGTAATATGATTTAAAGATGTTCAGTTAAATAACTGTTACTTAGAAAACTGGTTTTTACAATATTTTTTCTTTCGTTACAGTACAGTATATCAGAACATACAGAAAATAGTAAGTTACACAAACAATAAGCATTCAGTGAGTTACACAGACATTTTTTAATCCAAAGAGTTGTGCAGGCATACTGGAAATCATTAAGTTATAGGGACATACTGGAATCCAGTGAGTTACACGGAAATTTTAGAATTAAGTGAACTACAGTCATTTTGCTCTGTAGTGAGTTACACAGTAATTTTAGAATAAAGTGAATTAGTCATTTGTCTGTCTAGTGAGTTACACAGTAATTTTAGAATTAAGTGAACTACAGTCATTTTGCTCTGAGTTACACAGTAATTTTAGAATTAAGTGAACTACAGTCATTTTGCTCTGAGTTACACAGTAATTTTAGAATTAAGTGAACTACAGTCATTTTGCTCTGAGTTACACAGTAATTTTAGAATAAAGTGAACTACAGTCATTTTGCTCTGAGTTACACAGTAATTTTAGAATAAAGTGAACTACAGTCATTTTGCTCTGAGTTACACAGTAATTTTAGAATAAAGTGAATTATAGTCATTTGTCTGTCTAGTGAGTTACACAGTAACTTTAAGATACAGTGTTGTTTGTTCAA